TTCCTGATTATGACAACGAGCACACGGCGGGTGTGACCGGTCGGCAGGGGATGCTCACTCCTCCATGGCACCTGATCCCACCTCTGATGTTTCGGAGGTCCGTGTTTGCTCTGCTCTTATTTTGTATATTTGTTTAATGGACGTTGAAATTGAATACTGTTCGTTATTTCCATATCCCTCTTCAAACAAAAACAAGAGTTATAAGTATTTAAAAATGCCTCAAAGATAATAGTTTTATCTCTGAAAAATGGTACTAGTAATTTATATCAAGTTAGACCCTTAACATTAACCCTAGTAAATTTGGTTATCAAGGAAGATCCTAACTTAAACGAATCTGGTTTAAATTATAACATGCCTTTGGTATGTTTACTTGAGATTGTTGAGCATATGGAATTTGATATACTGTTATATTAATGCGGAAACTAGTATTTTGCCAAATGCAAGTTTGATTAACTCAAGCTAGGTCATTGTATGCTGACACACAGAGTGATACACACAATTCTTAGTTGCCTTTATGCTAAAAAGGAATCGATTTTATACAAATTAACTTGAGATGTATAATTCATTTAAAAAGAGCATGATTCTTTGCATGTTTTTATTTTTGAATTTTGCCAAGCATTGTGGTAAAACTTGATATTACTAGTATATTGGGGTATACCTGTCCAAAAGACTGCTTTGTAAATCTTATCTGAGTAATCATGATATAACATGTGCCTTATCAATTATGTGACTTATATATAATCCTATCCAATACAAAATGGCATAATATACTCAGAGACTTTAAAAACGCCTATATGAAAATGTCTTGTGAAACAAATTCACAATTTTGATATTCTAATATTTTGCCTATGTATTTTGTTTTAACCATTTTAGTATGTATCCATATCATCGATAAACGACGTTTTAAACACTAATACAGGTAACATCTTGGATTTCCAAGCTCGGTTTCCCGACCTTAATCCCATCGAAAACGTATTGGACGAGCTTAAAAGACGGTTAAAAAGACGTCAACGCCAACCCGCAAGCGTGCTAGAATTAGCAGAGGCTGCAAAGGCTCTACGGGAAGAGTAGAATACCATTCCTATTAGACGAATTCGAGCTGTATGCCAATCCTAGAGGCTCCGCTTAGAGCATTTGAAGTTTCAAATGGTGGTCATACACGTTACTAATCAAAACGAGAAAAATGTTGAGAGTGTGATTTTAACTGTTTGCCTTGAAAAAAATTCGGTTAACAAATTCGTTGATTGGATTGGAAAATGAAGAGATTCTATGGAAATATGATTTTTAATAAACTTCCTACCACATGTAACATAATGTACCAATGACAATAAAAGCAATCTTAATAGGCGTTTTTAAAGTCCCTGAGTAAATAATCATTTGAGAGTTTTTATGATTATGAAAAATTAAGGAATTTTGTGATGCAGACTCAACATCAGTCTGTTGATTTTTGTGTTTTGGTGCATAACTACAATATTAAAATACTCAACATTAAATTTTGGCAGTTGAATTTTGAGGGTTATGTACCCTGAAACAGGTTGTAATGTATGAGAAAAAGCAAGCAAAGGAATACTTTTATGGGCCTTTTAGTTGGTTTATGTTACTTGAGAACTCCCTTAAGCAATGCTACTTATACGATCAGTCACACATGCAAACTAGTTCAGATAAGTTGGTGGGTAATGGACAAACTTGTGTGTAAATGACAATGGATTGGTCAAAGTACAACAACTTTGAATGTTGAAATTAGTTAAATATCTGAGAATATAGAGTCTGGAGTATGTTATAGGTTTGTGATTTTGAATATATTAAAGATGTGTTACTGTTAGATACCTAATTCATTTCAACGTAACTCTCTTTTATTACTATTAGCATACATGTTTAAGGGTGTAATGTGTCCTAATCTATGACCTTAAATTTTGGTAAGAATTGTTTCCCTTTCTTTAAAATTAGATGTGTAACAAAAAAAGAATTATCTGCTTTAAAAAGTTGTTTTTAATCATCATTCTATTTCTTATGTTTCATTCATCTTTCCACCACAGTATATAATTATACGTGATGTTCCAATACAAGGATTTATTTCCTGTCCATTGATCTAAAAATAGATTGGGAAATTCCAAATTGATACAAATTGTTAAAAAGCTATTTCTACTGACTATGATTTTTTTATGTGAAAAAAACAACATAAGCGAATATATATTTTAGGGTGAATATTTTAAGAGGGAATGCAGGGACCCTCGTCCAACACTTTTACTGAACAACATGTTTTTTTTTTTTTTTTACTTTTTGGCAGTCAGTTTTCCCTGATAATAAAAACTCCTTCCTTTCAAAATCTATCCTATTAAAAGACTGACAATATATTATTTTGTTCATGGCAACTAAAATTGATATAAAAAAAATACCATTTCAAATTGATACGACTGGTAAGATTTATTCACATTTTAAGTCTGTTTCTCTCTTGTAATTGGCTAGGACTTAATTAAATGCAAGTTAACAAGTAATGAGCTGCATCATTTTATCAGTGAATCATACAATAAAACAATTATTGCAGTGTTTTTTTTTATGTCAATACAATGATTTAGCCATCTGAGGAGTACAATATTCACCTGAGCTGACATTCGTACTCCTCAGATGGCTAAATCATTGTATTGACCTCAAAAGCAGCAATAATTGTATAATATTTCAAAAAAAACACAGTGGAATTTAAACTACCATACATGTATTTATTTTGGATAGCCATCTGAGGAGTACAATATTCAGGCTCGGTGAATATTGCATGAACAATTTCTTAAACGATTTAAAATGTTGACAATCAAGTTGATGAAACAAGAATTTCAGCAGTCTCGTTTAAAGTCACCATTTCGTAATATTTATGGTCGATACAATGCCATTGTTAGCAAATACAGTTTATCATTGAGTCAAATGCTGTCTGACATTTTCATACTAATTGTCAGTCCATTATTTATATACTGAATTGTTGACAGATATTTCCGTTATTTCCCAATCATGACAAGAAGCACACGGCGGGTGTGACCGGTTAGCAGGGGATGCTCACTCCTCCATGACACCTTATCCGACCTCTGAGGTTTTGGAAGTCCGTGTTTGCTCTGCTCCTATTTTGTATTGTTTACGGAATTTTGACTCCAGTTGATTCACAGCAACTTAATGCTAACCAGATGAAATACCGGTTTATAGAGATAACGAACAATTCTATAAAACTACAATATAGGAGCAGAGCAAAAGCACACCTCCAAAAATTAGAGGTAGAATCAGATGCTTTGGAGGAGTGATCGAGCATCCCTTGCCGACTGGTCACACCCGCCGCTAAACACATGACACAAAGATCTCTATGGCATGGCCTTTAAAACTAACAATATTTATAATCAAATCGCAAATACAAGTAGCTCTAAATAAATGTAAATAAAAACTGAAGAAGACAAATATGTCTCCAAATATAATAATGAATTGCCGATAGAAATAATGTACTTTAAATGAGGAATCCAGAAAAGGTTGTAACAGGAATTGATTCGAATTCACTATAATAACCGCTACCACTTTTGTAATTGACCCACACTGCATATCCCGGTTTAGACTTAATATCACCATGTTTGTCCCCGTCTGGAATTGAGCACTAGAATCGCCAATTAATTGTACCTGATGTTTTCCATTTTTATCGATAAAGACTCCGAGATAACGGTTAGAAAACTCCACAGCACTGACATAAAAGACATAGTTTCCTTCTATCGGGGCCGTAAAAACTCCCGTACTTGGGTTATATCCGCTTCGAATGCTAAAGATGACTTTATCGAAAACCATAACTCCACTTCTCCAAGTTTTGTTGCTTGAGGTAACACCCGCAGTAAATGCGAATTTCGTAGCTTTATCTAAGAAATAGAAACATGAAAATGCAATAAATCTTTGTGTTAGAGGGTTTTATGGTGATAATTGATTAGGTCATAGATAAGGTGGATCTAAATCCTAATCAGCAGTACGTGTTTTTAAAGAATGAGTACCATGATCATGGTTGGTTAAGTTCACTCTCAACAGTTCCAAGGACGATACAGCGGCAGACAACTTTAACTGCTCCGTCTCTGACAACCTCAGGGCAGACTTTAAATTGTCCATCGAGCTGTTCACATTCACTAAAACATGAAAAAAGTGTAAATAAGATGTGTTTGTAAAACACTATGCGCCCGGCGGCAACAAACTTTTTAAAAAGCTATTTTAGCATATATGTTATAATCAAGGTCACAAGGTCATTGACCATGGTGTCATTTGAAAGAGATTAATTACTGGAGTATGCATACTAAATATGCATTCTCTATCTTTTAGGGGCTCAAAAGTTATGGAAAAGGTACAAAAAACTATTTTTTGCATATTGGTCACAGTCAAAGGTCACAAGGTCATTGACCTTTGTGTGATTTGAAAGAGCTTAATTAGTCGTGTATGTATACCAAATGTAAAGTTTCTAACTTTCATTGTTCAAAAGTTATTGCGAAGGTTAAGGTTTGCGGATAAAAAGCTATTTTTAGCATATAGGTAATAGTAAAGGTTTCAAGGTCATTGACCTAAGTGAAATTTAAAAGAGCTAAATTAGTGGAGTATGCATATCAAATTTGAAGTCTCTATTTTTCATGGTTCAAAAGTTATGGCAAAGATTAAAGTTTGCAGACAAACAAACAGACAGACAGGACAAAACAATGTACGTCCCGGATCTATCAATTCGGGCGCATAAAAATAGTTTTCACTTAATATTTCCTAAAATGACCTAACTATTTAAAAAGCTAGAATACTTACCAGATAATAAATCGTTATCTTCTTTGAGTTTGGAGATTGCAGCTGATTTCTTTTGGTCTATGTCTGGTAATTCTACACGTTTTCTACAGATCTGGCCACTTTCTCTTTTTCATTTTCCACATCAACTGTACGTGTGTTTAGATTTAGAAGTGTCAGCGACGAAAACCTTACCTCGATTTTAATGTCTGCCAGTGTATTCGAAACGTTTTCAAGCTTAATATTCAAATTTTCAAGCTCTTGTTCGTGAACATTTATTATATTTCTCAGCATACCATTTTCGAGTTTCAGCAGCATCACTTCGTTTTTCAAATCGGTAAGTTCGCTATCAGTCGATTTCTTCAGGGAGGAGATTTCAACTTCAGCCTCAGCGAGTTTTTCCTGTAAGCTCAGCATGTCTTTCATTAAAGTATGGACATTTTTCACTAAGGTCATCCTAATGATAGTTTCTTGGTTCAGAAGTTGTCTAACAATGTCAACGTTTTCGGTGTTTATTGAGTTAAGGTCCAGCCCTGTAGAGTTGTTGTCTTTGAGGGGAGACTGGGCCTTCGTATGGACCATAGTGAAAAACACATTATGGCAATGATACTAGTGGATTTCATGATACATTTTCTGAAGTCTTCATATCGTATATATAAGCACTAAATACAAGTTTAATACCAAACTTATATTCAAGAGTTGGTCATTAAAAGGAAATTGGAATCCTCAACCAATTGAAAAAATGTTAAAGTTAATTGTGATATCTGATGAACAAGAATGACTGCTTATTGACTGAACATTGATAGTGTGTTTGTAGCACAATGTGAAAATTGTCGAAGGGCTTTCTCTAGATGAAATGATGTGGGAAAATAGAGCTAAGATAAAACATACACTGTCTCGAGTTATAAAACACTCAAAATCCGAGACGGTCTTGTGATTTCACACTTAAATTAATGGAGCTCTGCCTTTTAGCTTATAACGAGCGTACTTTAGATATGTTAAGCGTATGGACTTTCCTGTCGAATTTTTAAAAGGTATATTTGGTTTCTTGAATAAAAATACTCTTTGGTTTTGTTATAATAGTATGAAGCGGTTGTGTAAAGAAAATTGTAAATTTTACGATTCTCTTTTTTTATAAGCCGCAAGAAGTAGAACCAAAGGCATATAATCAATGCAGTCATTAATATAATACATAGTAAGTGCTGATGTTCTTTGATATTGAGTGATGTAGTGGACACTTCCCTTTTATTCTTTAGTAAATATTGAGCTGATTTGTTTTGCTTTGTTTTTCTGTTTTTTCAAGTTCCAGTGTACTTGTTAATTGTTACAAAAGATGTGTACCTATTAATTGAGTTTTTAATGAAGTTGACATTAAAAAGATGCTTGAGTTTTTAATTAAAATATATATGTAGATTTTGAGACTCAGGTCTTCCTACAATCTATTGGAATTCCCATGCCGGGTATTTATTGCGCCCTTTATTAGCAGACCTATTTCTGTACTCATATGAAGGAGAATTGGCACAAAAATCTTTTGCGCGAAAAGAAGAAAAAACTTGCCTTGTCCTTCATCTCAACATTTAAATATACAGTCGATACGATATATCCCAATGAGTTTGTAATAAAAGATACCACAGAGTCTGACACATCTGTCCTATATTTGGATATTTTACTTGAAAAATATTAAGACGTTAATGGAAATCTAACAACCAAGTTCTATGATAAACTTTATGTCTCTAACTTCACAGTTGTACAATCATCAACTTCCCTTACAGTAATATACCTTCATCACCTGAATAAGGAGTTTGTATATCTCAGCTGAGTCCATACGCAAGAGCATGCTCTACGTATTAACAATTTCTAAAACGAGGTAAATTATTGACAAACAAGTTGATGAAACTAGAATATCAGCAGTCTTATTTAAACGGATTTTTCCGTTATTTGCCGATAAGGAGTACACGGCGGATGTGACTGGTCGGCAGGGGATGCTCACTCCTCCATGGCACCTGATCCCACCTCTGATGTTTTGGAGGTCTGAGTTTGTTATCCTTCTATTTTGTATTTTTTATGGACTTTTGATCTTGAGTTCTGTTTGTTATTCCCTTATGTTTCACTGAAAAGACAAACACACATTTTTTCAGCAGTATAATGCCGATTTAATTATAAATCAGCGTGACACGGCTACTGGTTGAAGAGCATCGCCACCACACATACCATTGTAATCTTTAGTGACTTGTGTTTTGTGTCTGGAATATAAATGTGCATATGTAAAAAACAAACAAACAAACAATGTTTATATTTCCCTTCATAGCCCCGTGTCATGATTTGATAAACTTACACTACCTGTAGATGCTTCTCTTTCTAAATATGAAGAAAAGTGGTTTACTTCGGGGTAGGGCGATACCACAACAGATAGGGTTTCAAGATTTTACGTTGGAAAAAAATAGAGAAAAATCTTTTAAATCCGTCTCCTCATTAGAAAGCATAATTGATGATTAATTGTATGTTGTTTAACTTCCTTCGAGAATTTTTCACTCATATGGAGACGCTGGCACTTGCCGATTTGTCCTATATACGTCACTCAGGACTTTGAGCAATGAGGGATATTTTTCGTGCCAGCACCTACTGAGACACGGGACCTCTGTTTATACGGTCTCATCCGAAGGACTCGTCTCCACGTCCCACAGTGGGAAGGAAGCATAATTAATAATATTTATATAGAAGCATCCGTGTGAAGGTCAGTTCACGTTTGTTTAAATCACCGGAGGTATAATGAATCATTATTTGGAATCATTATCGTGTACTGAAAATTGACCCCTGGACGTACGGTGGGACAGAAATTGGTGATCAAAATTTTTACAAAGAAATACTAAGAATAAAACCTTGTTCTCAAGAACTAAAAAGGCATATGGAAGCATCTGCGGGAAGTGTAGTTTCAAGTTCGTTTCAGTCATGATGAGTTTTGCATAGGGATACACAAGAAGAATCTCTTAAAAAACTTCTCAAAAAAGCAAATCCGTGATAATTCATATTAATATGGTAATACTTTCAAGTAGTGGAGTGGACATCCAAACTTGTTCAAATCATAACCCCCTAGGGTAGGATGGAGACATAAAAACTGATTAAAAAAAACAGTTACATACAGGCAGTTGGAGACATGTAGTTCACACTCGTTACTGTAGGTTTTGCCGTCTGTACCACACAATGGAGCGTAATTCATAGGACAAAACAATGGACAACTAGCAGCGCGCTCGACATTAAAGCAGTCTGAAAGGAAAAAATAAGGTATAGCTTATAGTCGGGAGCACACAGCGCGTTCTACATTAAGTTATGTATTTTATAGTGGGCAAATCACGATGCGTTCTTCATAA